ACACACACACACACACACACACACACACACACACACACACACACACAAAAGTTTTAGAAATAAATGTATGCATCATTGCAGTAAAAATTAAAATAAATTTGATTTGATTGAATTGGGAAAAATAATTATTAGGAAGAGAAAAGACAGGACACATCTTTTTTTTTTCTTAAAATAAGATTTTTAATATTACTTATTATCATAAAGATATATTTACACACTTTACAGAAATAGAAAATAAAAACACAAAGCTACGCATGAAAGGAAATAAAATAAAATAAGATAAGTACTCCAAGAGCTAAATCTTATCTTTCATAAATTAGAAACCAAAGGTTCAAATATGTACACAGTATTTCAACCATTTCTGATACACTTGTTTTATTTATTTATTCATGTCATTTATTTTTGCCCAGTTCAACATCGAAACAGAGACAGGGACTGTACATTTGGCCTGGTGAGTAATATGAGCACACACCATGAACAGAGGAGGAGTTTCAGGAGTAATACATCGGCTTCGAAACTGCTTGAGACCTAGTAACACTGTTGTGATGCTGTGTGAGCCTACAGACTGGATTTCTCCTAAGATTGTTTTGAATGTGACTGTTCTCGCACACAGTGGTTACGAAGATGGAGAATGTGTCGCAATCAAAAGGCGGGGGGGTGGGAGGTGTGGTCCTGCCTGTGCTATTCTGGGTGTCAGAAGTCTCATTTCGAGGCTCCAGGATAATGACAGATCGTTGTCATTTCTCACGAGAGTTAGAATCTAGTTATCCTCCGGATTGCTCAGCCGGTGGGAAAGTGTCTGATTGAATATCAGCCACTCGATCCTGCAGACACCCACTTCGAAGGCCAACGTGATGCCGTTTGATGGGATTAGGGATTCACAAGGCGAAATCATGGAATGTGTGGCGTGCCAGCTCTGCTTCCACTTCTGCAATCAGTGACATGTTTGATAAATATCTCGAGGGATTTTATCTGGTAGAGAACTGAGACTAGAGTGGCTGCAAGATTAAAACGAAACAAAAACGCCAAACTGATTTTCTGTGTTTTTAAGGGAGCTGTGACTAAACTAACCTGCTTCAAAACTCCTCTTTTCCCCCAAACACATCCGCATCTCACCTCTTACACACTCCCTGACAACAGCTTTAGGACAAAACTAAATAAACAAAACAAAAAATAAATAAGAAATAAAACTGGGGCAGAGCTAAAAACCTAAAACTCTACCAGGAAAACATGCTGACAAGTGCATAGAAACATTACTCAGGCCTTGTGATGGTCACAGAGAGGAGGAATTGGAAAAGAGACGTTGAGAGGGTAGGAATCGTTTCTCTTGTGTCTTGCCTTGCTGGAAAACACCATTAAGGAAAATGGTTTCGCTCCCCGAGCATAATGTATTGGTTTACCATTTCAGTTTTAGCCTGGACACGCTTGTCCTTCTACACCACCAGGCCCATTAACCTGATGTGCAGGGGAGGGCGGTGAGCTATGATCTACAAGAGAATGCCTGAAAGCTTTCACGTGTCCACGACATATTGTGCTGCAGACTACTTTTTTTTTTTTTTTTCCTGTTTTGTTACATCCACAAAAGATACAGCTTCTCACACTGTATTCAAAAAAGTAAGCTTTGGACAACTAGCTAGACAAGAATCAGACAAAAGAAAAAATTGTCACAATACACTGGAAAACCATTCCATACCAAGAAACTCTTGTTTTTAAGGGTGTATTTTTCCAGCAGCATAATGGAATTGCAAAAAAGTGCAGCCTTGCAAACCCATACAGAGAAGCCACGTCGATTTGTTGGGACTATAGTTAACACCAGAAGCTTTGGATCTGTGGGATATTTGGTTTTTTGGTTGTTTCTTTCTTCTTTTTTTTGGATATAACTAACAACCAGACTGAGATTTAAAAGAGTGACTTGTTTACTCTGGCCTCTGAAAGGGCAGCGTGGCTGGTGCAGATGGCGAGGATACATTCATGAGGAATAGTGCGGATACAGACGTTGCTCGGCTCCGTTACAATAACTTCTGAGGTGGGTGGTGGTGGTGGTGGTGGTGGTGGGGGTTTATATTGATTTGAGCCCCTTGCCACGACCCAGTCTACTTTCAGCATCCTGCAGGCTTTAAACTTTCCTCCTCGGCTCACATCATCCTATCATCTTCTCCAATAAGACATCCTGAGTGGAGCTGTCTCACCCCCTAGGAGCATTAATGAAATCTACATATCTGTCTGTGAGCGTATGGAAAAATAAGGCCAGAACTGAAATTATTACTCTTCACTGTGCCCTAGGATTTAATGCATTTTTGATCAAGGTGAGCTCGGCTGGGTGAATTGCCACTGTGGTTTTAGATGCTCTCTTAATAAAAGCTTCTCATGCTGGGACTGAGAAGGCTCTACATTTAACTCTAATATTTGCATGAGATATGGCGAGAGGGAAGAAATAATTGTTGGAAACCTAGGTTAATCAGTTAGCGGAGAACTGTGTGGTCAAAACCGATTTAAACTAAATTATTTAGTTTGAAATGTATATTAATAAGAGACTTTTGGGAAGCTGTTCTGCTCGCTGAAGACACTAGAAACCTGCACAGCTCTCATTTGCGATATGGTTACACTGAATCAGCAGGGGTTCAAAGATTGAAAAAGTGGAGGTTTAGTCTAAGCCAGTTTAACAATGAGCTCAGACTAAGTGGCCCCAGCCAACCTTGTGGAGCTCCATCTGAGAAAGATTAACGTTAGGATTTAATGAGCGTGCTGATCAAAACCATGACCACCTGTGCTGTGGAGGGCCAGATTAAAAAGGCAACTGTATCCAACTTAATGCAAGTAGAAAAGTACTAAATCTTCAAACAAAAGAGTGGATAAATTAGTGAATAAATGCAAGGGAGATTAAAGATGAATATGAAAATAAAATATGAAAATATGCTCATAAAAGTTTGTATGCTTGTGGTGAATAAATGCACAAAATAGACTGCTCTAGTACAAGCTTCTATCACAGCACCCTGAGAAATAAAGGAAATAAAACTATTACACAGAAAATAAACATAAACTGTGATATATTCCAGTACGATGGAAAGGCATAGCATTTTCCTTCTATGATAAATATTGGTCAAAAGGTCACACCCGCCGTACGCTGAGTGTTGAAACAGCCGGAGCACTAGTGGTAGGCTGATCATGGTGGCATGTTAATGACTGAGCCGGCGTTTTGCTTCGAAGCGGCTCCCTCGGCTAGTTGTCCTCGCTAACGTCGCCCGACACGAAGGATATCCATTTGCGGAAATTTAAAATGCATAATGTGTCAGTGTATCAAGACTTCAAACAAGAGGTAATGCGTTTCTAACCTTTCATTCCTCCGTTCCTGGCAGCGTCGTGGAGAACGTTTCTTATTTGGCACTTCATTAAAAGGCAAAGGCGGTCTGTCGAAGCAAACTGCCGCTGCCAGTTAACAGTCGTGTGAGAAAGGCTGGGATCGGGGACAGGACCGGGGTAGAAGGACTCCTTCAAGGTGGGACATTTTACAGTAACCTTGTCGGACAACCCCTCTTCCCCGAGGTGTTAATGAGTTCAGAAACACCGAAATAGCTTTGGATTACAGAACGTCCTAAATGAGGGAATAATTCTGTAACTTAAACAAACTCTATTGACAAAATGTGCTTCTTTTTCAGACCAGCTGTACTTTCTGACATTTTGAGGAACAAAGCACCATTAATAATGGTAGTTGAGTGATGAAATAAAGTCTGCGGTGATGCCTCGTCTTGTCCTTTTGTCCTTTTTCTCAGAGTATCATAACAGAACTTTAAAACTGCCCTTCTGCACGATCAGCACCCCTACCTACTTGTAAAGTAGCTATGCAGCAATGAATGTGAGCGGCTGAAGTAACCTTGGATCTGAGACATGTGAAGAATACATCCTGGAGAAGTGACAGATGCTCGAAGACTCAGATTGTTTTCACTGGGCTCCCTCTCCACCACATGTCATGCAAAGAGAGTGAGACTCATAAACGTTGCTATGATTGGGCTCTATTAAGCAAAAACATGGGGATAATGAAAAAAATAAAAGGCTTGGGATAAGACAGAGATAAATAAGTAGTGAGGGAGAAAGAGAGAGAAAGAGAAATAGAGTCTGACAGCTCAGGCTCAACACCCCCCACCCACACTTTTCCCCCTGCCTCCTTTTTTATTCTTCCTGGAGCTGAGGGTGAGCGGCTTGTCCTGATTTTTTTTTGTGGACAGAGTTGCTTGGAGAACCAGCAGGTGCTATGGACATCACTCTTCAGGCTGGGCAAGCGTAGGCCCTTCATTGCAAGGCCCCCCAAGGCAAAGGAAGAGCATAGAAATCAGAACCTGGGGGAGGGCGCTCAAAGCAGTGCCTGCAAAACAGGAAAACATGGAGAAAATGCAATCAGCATCATTTGTTTCTTTTTTCTTTGAAACCATGCAACCGTTTAGACAAGACTAATATTTAGTCTGTGTTGTTTTTTTTAATTATATTCTTAAAAATGTCCCCTGATGATGCAGGATGTGTTCAACCAAAAGAAAAGACGCAGAAATTGCTTTCATTGTTCAGTTTGGATGGATGAGACTGTGTTGAACGTGCAAATTACCTGCGTTAAAACCACAATCGATACAGTTTTGGATAAGCTCATTGTTAGTTATCTTTAAGTGTATAAATAATATTCCTTCAGAAACATGACGAGGCCCAAAAATCCACATTTATATCATTTAAAATGTATAGTTTGTTGCACAAACTTAATAAGATATACAGTAGTCCCTCGTTTATCATAGTGGATCTATACCCTGAATCCCTGTGATAAGTGAAAAACCGCAAAGTAGGAATAGTAGTACAAGTAGTAAGTAATAGTTTATTTTATTATTTATATAAATATATATATATTAAGGCATTTTAAACCCTTCCCACACTCTTGCAATATTCTAATCTATGTTAAAACTCTAAACGCTCTAAAAGAGCACAGAATGTCATGATTTTAGCTCTCTGCCTCCTCTGCTCTTTGCCACCTGCAAGCGCTCTTGGCCACGCCCACTTCTCCGCTCTGCACGGAGAACAGCTGATCAGCTGCAGCTGGAAGCTTATCCTGCATGGGCTGCACAAAGGTGCAGGAAGTGCTAAATAATTCAAAATAATTTATTTTAAATAGAAATGCCACGCTGATCATTCAGCTCATCCATCAATCAGCCATTTATGTGACATGTCCAATCTTAATTTGAATGTTAATTTAACGTTATATTATTATTTTAGTTTAATTTTGCTAAGAGACATCAGGTTCGAATTGGGTCTAAGATCTTTGCACCCTGACTTTGAGTCACACAGATGAAGTCATCCAGCTTCAACAGTTTCATCAGATTTTAGTCTAAATTTTACAAAAGTTTGTTTATTGTTTTTTTTTCTGCTCTACAACTTGTTTCCATGAAGACTGATGTCATTTGAAGTCATGTCAGCAAGGCAACAAGAGATAGAAAAAGAAAAGTGTGCTTTTCAGAGGATGTAAAACTGTCATCCTTCTTCAAACAATGCAGACATTCAATATCCTCTGCCATAACGGTGACCCTCAGTGAGCTCCTGTCAAAGCTCTCTGTCTGTTATCATGAAAAAAAGAAGAAAAAAAAAAACACTTATACAGACATGTTCCAACCAGATTTCACAGTGTTGTATTGGAGAAGGCAGCTGGGAGTAAGACAAACAATAGTATATCTTGTTGTGAAGCACAAACTCAAAATTAAACCATACTTTGTAGATGGGATCATCACTTCACAATATATATTTTTTTCTATAATCTTTTATCTCCTCTTCTGTGAAAGTTTCAGGAGATTCAAACAACACATCCGATTTACTGATAAGACCCTGCTCCTCTTTCAAAGCAGCATTTTTTCATGTTCGTGTAACGTGATGTGAACTGATTTACGGTGCAACTACCAGTAATCTCTGTTGTTATTTGTTGCTGTTTTTGTGTTTCTAACATGATGTCACTACAACAACCAGCTCATAGTCAAACTACATCCCTTTGTGAGTCTATGGGAGGAGAAACAGATCTGTGCTCTACTGTACGTAAGTAAGAAACTTTAAAAATACACATTCACAGAGTTTTCTCACACTCAAGGCCATGAGAGGTTTCCACAAATTGCCTGGCTTTAAATCTGTAATATCCTGTTGTCTTCTGGGCCGACACTGGCATGTCTTAGATCCAAGAATTGTAATGGCACAGTTTAATCTGAGTCTACTTAGATGCTCAAAAAGGTTGACCCAGGTTGCAATCTTTCTTCTCAGAGCGGCTCACATCTGGAATGTGTAACAATGAAAAATCCAGCGTTGCCTCAGGTGTCATAGGGAATAAAAGATGAGCTGCCTTTGACACTGAAATGGGGTGATGTTGCTGAACAGCGCAGGCAGCAGGATGGACAATGTCAAGAAAATCATTGTGTTTTCATCCTCATATAAACAGTGTTGCAGTTCCGTTCAGTCCAGTAATGACACAGTCTGTCTGCGTTCGAGTCTCAGTCTAGCTTTGATCAAACAAACTGCATCCCCAGCTGTTTCCAGAGGTGGTTTTCCCACCATCAGCTCAGGCGGGACAACAAAGCAGGAAACATGAAGAAGAACAGAACCCTTCAAGTTGATGTTTCAGACTTGGAGACAAATCCATGTTAGATCTCGAGTCTCGTGAAGCCTTAATTCTCTCTGTCAGGCTGTGATCAAACTCGGACAAAACAAAAATCACTTTTTTTTTGCAGGACTTAAGCACAATCTGTGTGATCTGCTTGACGTGATGTTTGGTCCTGAGGACCAACACAATCCCATGACTTCCAACAAACTGGTTGAAATATGAGATGCCATCACACAGCAGAGTGTGACCACGATGGTGAAGCAGCATAAGGAGGAGGTGCTAGGCTAGGTAGCTGTGTATGGTTATTCCACATGTGCAACAATTGATATAACGCTAATATGTGTTGTTTCATCAGGCTTCAACCTTCTAGTTCAGTAAATTACACCAATCAAGAGTCAATAGCTGAAGAAGCTGTTTGATAGAGAAGATTTGACAGGTTTATCATGGGTGCAATCAGCGTAGTGAAATCTGCTTCTCAATCCTTCAAGGTATTTTCCCAATAAATGTGGCACCATTCAAGCAATACTAGAAAGGCTTTCCAATGGTATAAGATTTATTGCCAAAATGCATTGTAACAACAAAGACAGACTCAACCAAACACATATTTCCTTGCTTTTGTGCTAAGTATACATGGGAAGAAAAAGAACTCCCTGAATGGAGTGAACTATGAACTCAGCGATAATGAACGGAGCTGTTGGGAGAAAGAGAACAAAAAACGGAAATCTTCAGCATGTTGTGGTCTAAGTGGTGTTTGTGGAGAAGGCATTGTGACTCACTGAGCCATTCACTTTTACAGAGCTTCACAGCTTCCTGAAACTCCTTTTATTACTTGGCCAGTGTTCTGGCACCGAGCATCAGCTCCAAACACTCAACTCAGTGAGAGGATTCTCACGTTTTATTGGCAGAGGGGAGTTTTAAGACCCATCGTGTCCTTCAAGTGCTACTATCCTGGCTCACCAGTTTCACTTTTGTTAGGAGTCTCAGACGTCTCGCTTATGAAAGGCAACTTGATCCAGTCCAGAAAAAAATGCAATAAATGTTGATTGTCCATAGTTTTCTATAGAGTGTAAAACATCTCTGAGTGCTTTCAAAAGCAGAACTTCTAAACTTTGACAGCTTTGATAGTTTCTTCTTTAAAACCGATTAACAATGCTTTGACACTCCCTGGCTGAATCCATTCCTCACTATGGATTTAATTTACGGAGGACCTCTGCAGGTCAGTGTGGATCATTTGAGACCTCCTGCAGGGATATTGTGTCTTGGCGAGTTTCCCTGTCTCTCACATCGTCTGGAAGAGACATGAATGTGTGTGTGCGTCACACTGACATTCATACGTTTCAATGTTTGTTCATTTGATTGAGGTATTTTTACTCATCTGTGGTATGTTTTAGTTTCTCAGTATTTGATTTGATTGAAATCTGTTTGTGTAAATTAAATTAAACTGTTAAAAGTGGAAAACAAATAAAGCATCCCCCTGTGCAAGAAAACTATTACTGCCATGAAACCCAGCTCTACAAATTGTTATTTTTGGGAAAAAAAAAAAAAAAAAACTTTCTGTTTACTTAACCACGAGAAGAGCAAAGATTTATTACAGCTAAAAAGTGGTTAGGCTTCTAAGAATAAATGTCCTTTGTGATGGGAAATGAATGACAGATTTTAACACAACCGTTGTAATTTTAGGCAGGTGTTCAAGCTGCTAGGCTAAGTCCAGCAGTCCTGGAAGGAACAAGCGTTCGGAGCCAACAATAACATCCTTCACTTCTGTTCTTACTGCAGTAGTCAGTTTCCAGTGTTCATGTAAAAGTTTCCAGTTTGACATCAAAAACATCAAAACTGATTCTGTAATAAAGTATTTTAGCGCTGAACTTATTCTTTAAACTCTTTACGAAGTTGTGTTTCCTCACAAGCACAGTCAGCAGTTCTGATTTAATATTATTTAAGGATTTTCGTTTATATTTTCTTGAGAAGTTTGCAACCCTGACTTGACAGAAAACTGCTCCGCTGGGTAAACTCAGCCAAGACCGGCACATTGTTCTGTTAAATGACTCTGCAGAGGGTAGAGGCCTTTCCGCTCTGCGACAGTGATTGTTTTATTGACGGGTTGTTGTTGGAGAAACTCACCTTGCTCTAGAACGGCATGGGCCCCTTGTGGGAAAGACGGGGCCGTGGGCGTCTTCTCTTGGCTGGTCTGTGGGTCTGACCGCCTCGCACGGGGTTTTGCTGGGCCATTTTTCTCACTGTAGCTGTCTCTTCCAGCCCTCTGCCATGCTCTGTGGAGGCCATGGGACCTGGAGGACACACACGGACAGAGAAGTGTTCAATTAGATATGCACACATGCAAACATGTTTCACCAGAGGATAATCTTACGATACTTCTTCTAACTCAGGGTATCACAATGTGGTCATGAGCCAAATCCATCAGAGCTTAAAGCAAACATGTAGCAAAATCCTTACAGGGATCAGATGGGTAATGGATGAGGAAACCAGAGACAAGTCTGAATGGATGTGTGTGAGAGTGTGTGTGTGGGCTCCTTTAAGCCCACCCAGCTCATCAAGACAGTGTGGTCCAACATGAGGAGGCAAATGAAAGAAACTCGACCCTCGTGTTTCGTGTCTCCATCACTTTCCCTGGAGCTTACAAACTTCACACAACGCCTCGCAGAGCGACGTCGTGTCCGAGGATTTGGTGGAAGCTTGGGGATGAGTGTAATATCGGCGTGTGGATATCTCAGCTGCGTGTGTTTGAGAGTAGTCCCAGATGTTTTCAGTCATCTCTCAATAAGTGTGTCCTGATCCCCTTAAAGCCCCTCTTTTCCCCGTGGTTTTGTCCACCCCAAGAGCCTGTTTGACCTCGCGACCGGCTGCAAACTGACAGACCTCCAGTGTTTTGCATCTTTATAACATATTATGCAAGATGTGTTAGGTCAAGTGAAATTTAAAAGTGGTTAAATATTAAACAACTACACGTTGATCCAGCAAATATAAAGTGATGAAATTGTGTTTGTTAATCCATTCATCTCCTGAATCGAGGAGTTATCGAAATGAGGGTGAATAAAAGCAGCCCTACATTCCTTTTAACCAAATTTCTTTCTAAAGAAGTTTAGAATATTTGATTTTAAACTCACTCCTTGACTAAACAATGTATAGTTCTGACTGTTTTAAACTTTCATGTTCTGGGATTTCCTTTGAATTTGAGACAACAGTTCGTTCAGAGCCAAGCCCTCTCAACCTTTCACTTTGTCTTTGTGCATACCCCATCAGGAAGCTGATTGGCATGATTCACATGAGGTCATGACATTCCCGTCTCCCCCCCTTCTGAGAGGCTGGCACCATTTTTAGAATTCCCCAGAGAATGACCTTCTTTGGCTTTTACAACAGCCTGGGTGAGGACACAGCTTAAGATAAGTCAGCCAGCTGACTGCAGAGACTTGTAAAAAGCAAAAAAGTGTACCGAGGGGAGCAGCTGAGCAGCTTAGAAAAGCAGTGATGATGCTAAGGTTTGCAGTTTCCTCAGGATTCTTTCAATCAGTTGGTGAGCTGTTAAATGGACAAGCTACAGCTGCAACCCTGGAGGGGGCCGAAGGACTGATTTTAACATCCTGGACTAGAATGCAAGTTTCTTCAAGTGCAGCATTCAAAACACAATTTGAAGAAAAGCTAAATATTTCTCAAATATTCATTAATAATATCAGCTGTGGCTCCATGAAGGCTTTTGATTTATATGTTAAACTTTCCCAAAAAGAAGGAAGAAGAGGAGGATTTCAAGCTTTCATATTGAAATGATGAAATGCCGAGCCAGACAGCTTGCTGATTGTTTTCACTGAATATCCTTGAAACGCCAGACATCTGAAGTCCCAGTTTCACACTAATCTTCCTCCATGACCGTGTCACACAAGATATTTGCGCGCCAATTCATTTCAGCACAAAAACGAAACAAAAGTTAGCTGCGTATTTCCACATCTAATGCACTTCTTTTGGAGCTCCAATCTGTGCATTATCTGTTATTGTTTCAGATATGCTGTGAATGGAAGGCAGCGGCACTTTCTGGAGGCATTCAGCTCATTTCTTTCAAACCCAGAAGCTTGGATGTGTTTGAGACAAATTTGGAGCTGACAGAAGTATTTTAAGGAGGTCTTTTTGCTCTTGATGAAAAAAAAACACCCTGATCATTTACATGCAGATCACACAGAAGCAGAGTGGACTCGAAAACAGAACTAGTTTCTTTTGGGAGTTTACCTGCAGATGTTATGGTTTATTCAAGGGATTCCTTTAAAATCTCTAATACAAGCGAGAGGTGCACAATACCACAAGTGTTCAGGAAATCAAGGTAAATGCACATGTTAAAGATAATCAATGAGTTTCTTTCAGTTGTGGAAAAAAAAGCAACCTTCAAAACAAGCTGTTTCCTCTAAAACTGCCATGAAGTGAAGAAAAATGGTCAGAACTGACATGACATTGGAAATAAGTCTTTAAACCAAACTGCAGCTGATGTTTAGGTTACAGTCTTCTTCAAAAAAATGCTCAAACACCATGAAACACACACACACACACACATTTTCTCACTGCAGTGCAAGTCGGTAAAGTAAATGTACCTCGGTCGGCTCACACAACTCATCTCCGGGTGGCTCAGCCTGTCATAATCCAGGTCCGTAATGAGACAATTTAGATGTCTCCTGTCATGGCAAGCTGACAGCCACAGCTCCGCGCTGGGCTTTCAAGGGAGAGCATCTCGTGGTTCTAATCTCAACCTATCCTATCTGGCTACAGGAGGGAAAAGTGTAATGAAAGCTTCTAAAAATAAGCCAGCCTCAGTGATAACACTGGCAGTATAGATTAACTCCTGCACACTGTAGGGAAAGTGAAATATATGTTGACAAGCAGCTTTTTGTCTCAACCTGTTGGAGGTGGAAGTATGTGGCTGAATCTGATGCGCTTCAATAAGATCTTTGATTGTGTCTGCAGGACGTATAGATCAGTGGATAAAGCACATTTCATCTCTGAAAACAAAGATATCTCCATGATCTTTGAAATAAGATCCAGTTTCCCTGGTTTCTGATCTTATAGTGTTTGTGTTCAGCTGGTTAAACACAATAAGAAGCATTTTATCTCAGCCCCTGTGACCTTGGACCTCCCTGTTTTGCCCTCTTTCTGACATATCTTAACACATCTTCCCTCACTTGGTAATTCCTTAATTAAAGTTTAATAAAAGGGGAATTTCAGGAATGCTTTGTTATTGCTGCCACCACTCCTCGCAATGCTGCTTCAAATAAGGTGACTGGAGATGTGGGCTGAGGTAAAAATGATCAGTCAGAAAAGAGAGTTTCAGATGGTGGCACAAACTCCAGTGATGATGAAAGCTGGCTGCTCCACATTCCTCCTGTCCTAGTTTCACCACCTCCTTATTCAATTTCTGCTGTTGTCTTGTTCAAATTGTCCCACTCTTTGTCTAATTAAGGTCCTGCAGAAAGTCCTGACACTTTATCCCTGTTGATTCTACAACAGCCCATCAGTGGAGCCCAGAGAGATATCCATCTCCTGCTGGATGAGTTAAAAGAAGTGTCTGTCCTCTAGTTCGATGCCAAGTTCATCAGCTGCCCTGATGTCTGGCAGGAACAAACCATGCATCACAGCTCTGTCAGTGCAGAAACTCAGCGTGGCAAACGGGCAGGAGCTGCTTATTAATAGTCGTAAAGCTGATTTGTGTGCATCCACTGCCAAAACAGCCACATAACAAATGTGTGCACTTGTAAATGAATCCACAGCGTAATGTTTTTTCCGGCACTGACAGATTAAACGGTGCTGGCCTGGAAGTCAAGCTCCAGCAACAAGTACGCAGAGGCCAAACGTCAAATATAGAGCACACACAATGAAGAATGACCACAAAAATCTCATCCCAGCTGCCTTTCGTTTTCTTTGCCACTGCAAATTGATTTGTTGTCCTCTTTAATTATTCTTGTTTGTTTACTCGTGTTGCTCATCTCTCATCGCACCCATCATGAATCTGTCGTGTGCAATCTCATAGATCATTTTCACGGTCGGCTGAGCTTTTCAGATCTAATCTCTCCTCTGTGTGTTTTCTCCACACTTGTTACATTTCTGAACTGATACCTCTCCATCCTGTTTACTGCGTTTTGTTAACTAGAACAGGTCTATTCCACTAAACTGCTCAGAAGGCCACAGTTACTTAAAGCCTAGAGCTCAGGGGTCGGACGTCCAGCAGTTATTGTCATTAAGTAAGTTTGTTTTACAGTTTTAAATCTAGTTTTATTTTAAAATTAACCCAATGGTGGGCTGAACTGAACTCACACGTGGGCCTGATTTGGCCCCTGGGCCACCAGTTGAAAAACCCTGAAGTAGAAGCTTGGAGGATGGAAACTGAAGTGTTCTTATGTGAGAAGAGGCTTTAGATAGTTAGGCTTTCAGTTTTACCTGTGGCCTGAAAAGGTGGGAAAATGTGGGATTGCTTCAGTGTGTCTGTGCATGTGTTTGTTTGTCTGTCTGTTAGCAAAATGTTTCATGAATCAGTGGACAAGTTTAAAAGAAATTCTCCAAAAATAATTACTGGATGTACATCTACAACTGATAACCACAGCTTTAGAAAAACCAACATGGCTATAATTCTGTTAGTTTTTCAGATATTTAGCTAAAACGTGGTGTGGTTGTAGCTGAGCGTCATCTCTAACATAAGCCTTAAGTGCTAAAAGATCACTTAAAATCTTTGTTCAAAATTTGGTAATGAGTGAGATGCTTTCCTTCAAGTTTTGCTAGATTTTAATTTTAATTTAGAAACCAAAATATTCCAAACCAAAGCTGATTATGTAGACAGCTGACCTACAGCAAAAGAGTGATTTGGCATAAAACATTCAGTTAATTGTCATTATTGTGTTTCATGCGAACTACTGAAAGCTTAACCATCAGGCATTCATGATGAAAGCTTCTGTCTTGAGATCTAGATGGACCAACACTTTTTTTTTGTACAGATCTTCATGATTTTCATCATACAATTTCAAAATAAATGGCAATAAATATATTCCAGGATGAGTAAAAATTATTTTGGTGGTTTAACTTTTTATTAGCTTGATATAAACCAAATACCTGCAGAATGACCTTCCATTAAACAGTCGCTCATGTCTTTTGTGTTACGAAGTTGTTGCAAATTAAAATAACAAATACGGACTTAGGAAATTTTAAAGTAATGGTATACATTATACATGTAAGCGTTGTGCTGTGAGTATGTTTGAGTGCTGACAGTAGGATTTGTTTCCTCAAAGCTGTTTTTCCAAAGCGT